CTAAAATATCTCCCTGGATTTCCTTCCTTGATTGAAAGAACATATTCTCAATCACTTCAAGCTGGAAATTGCTGAATATTCACATCGTTCTAATCAACACAATTCCATCTTTTTCAAGCATTATTGACTGTATTACCACAATCTCATGAGATTTAACTATATCACTTATGATGTTTGAAGGGCTCAAGATGTCGTAAACCCATGAACTCCACATTGAAACATCATGCTACTAAAATATCAGAATGATAATAAGCATGGTGGTGAGTACCATTACACCAAAGTCATTGGCATACACTATCTTAACATTGTTCACTTTGCAAATGTAAATGAAATCTACTGAGTCAATTTTTTCTTTATTTGGTGGTACAAATCTGTGCAGGAGCATGCATGAGAGACCTGTACTCTGTGTTGTATTCACTTCTGGCCTCTCACAAACCAGAACACATTTAGTTTTGTGGACCCAGGAGTCATTCTCAGAATGTGTCATATTGTTTCAGCTTTTTCTAGATACTAGTACAATCCAGGTGAATGTAGCATTTCTCTGTTAGTAGAAGACATACATGATTGATACAAGTATTATATTAACAGGTGAGTGAATTCAGATTCCCTAATGATAATGATTGTTGATTTCAGAAACACACTAGCTTTATTAATCATGATACCCTCATACACTTTCATTATGGGCTTGGGGTCAGTTATGTATACTTGCATGAGGCAAAGCCCTGCCCTATATGCAAATGACAGTGTGTTCTTTTCATTGCTTTCCTTCTATACTTCAAATGTCCAGTTCCTTAACCATAACTCTTCTATGTTTGTTCATAGCAATCTACAATGATCCATAATTCAGATTCTTTTATGGGTCTATTTGTACTATCAACAGTACACACATAAGAGTTGTCAATTTATGATACATAGTACTATACAATATCATTAAATAGATCTTTGGCTTTTGAAGCAGCAATGGTGCATATTGATAATTGCATTAAAATACAACATGTGGATCCAAGCCCAGATTCTGGTAATACTATGTGTTACTCATAACTACTTGGAAAGACACACTCCTAATAGGTTCTGGTATACTTTTGGAGAAACCAGTATATGGATAACTATCTCAAGGAACACAAATAAAGGGAACTTCCATTGCCATAGTTATAGTATATAGATGTTATGCTATGAAATAATTAGCATGTTACACATATTGAGAGTGCCATCTCTCTGCTTAATAAGTACAAACATCTAATGAGTAAAGAGCACTTGGTGATTGTATAGCTTTGACTAAGCATAAGAATAAGGCTATTATATTCTACTTATTAGATAAAGCAATAAGGTTTGAGTGATGGAAAGAGAAGTATATACTTTGTGGTGGCACATCATGGATATTAGATAGATGGTAGGCAATTTGATTTCTGGGACCCTACAACTAAAGGAGAAAGAGTACTGAATTTATGCTTTCCATGACTGATACTTGCCATACTGAGTCACTAGTAGACCCATCAGTGAATGGAGAGATATATATTAATGAAGAAAAGGAGATAGAGATTAGGATCTAAGATATGAGATATGACAGATATCTTGACAATATACATCAAAAGCTTCTTCTGTAGCTAAAATCTCTGAACTTTAGAGATTATGCTAGTGTGTAGAAATCGTGATATTAATGATACTATAAAGTTCTTATAAAGTCTTGTGTGAGTCATAGCTTCCTTGCAAACTTGCCTAAAATAAGTATTTTACTATATGTTACTCATATTCCAGAGTCTAGTGCTCCCTGCCTCTTTGGCAACTGACTTTAGACTTTAGTCTGATTTTTTTTGGTCTCTTAGTAGCCTCTAGAAAGATAGTACTAATGCTCCTACACATAATCCTAATTAGATCATTGACCTGAAATAATAGGTCAAAAGCAACTACAAATATTAACATGGAAGTGAAGTGGACCACTTCTAGAGGCTACTGAGAGACCAGAAGAGATTAGACTAAAGTCCAAAATAAGTTGCCAATCTATTAGATGATATAGTGAAGTTATACAGTACCTGGAGTCCAAAGTTGTCAAAGAGACAGGGAGCACAAATAAGCTACAATCAAAGTCCTAGGGAGGTTAGGAAGTGATGTAAATAGTATGTAAAGTGCCAGAAATAATATATCATCTTAGTCCAAATGGACTGTTGTCTTTGTGAGATAGATGAATGTAATTCTTCTCTTTTGATAAGAGTTCTGGCTAAGGCAAGTAGTTGCAGCTATTAGTTATATGATCATTCATCTCTACAGTACATATTTCTATGTCTTCTATGTTTCTTATTGTATCTTCATACTCATGGTATTATTCCTGGCACTTTACATACTATTTACATGACTTCCTGATCTCCCTAGGTCGTTCCTAGGTCAAGTTATTATTTATCTTTTAATTGTGGCTTATCTGTTTACATTTGTTTACCATATATCGCCCATATCCCAGAGTCCAGTGCTCCCTGTCTCTTTAGCAACTTACTCTAGACTCTAGTCTGATCTCTTCTGGTCTCTCAGTAGCCTCTAAAGCAGCCCACTTCACTTCCATCTTAACAGCAGCTTCCTTAGGATAGCTGATAGACAACTAAGTTGGAGACTTAGTTGAATAGGGGATTCTAGATAAGACCCAGTAGATTCAAGTGAAGAAATACAATGATAGTTGTACAGTCTATATAGGCAATATTCAAGTGGAGCTTGTAAATGGAGTAGCATGATAAGGAAGAACATGAGGCAGACAGTCCACTTAAGAAGGAGAAAAATGAATAGGGGTAGAAATGTTATTGGAACAGACTTAGTATGAGGACTAATATAAACTGAGGCACAAGCAATGAAACATTGACTCCTAGCTTATTGGTCTCACCTTTCTTTGACTGTCTTCTCATCTTCTCCCATAGGAACTGGATGTACTTGACAATCTCAGACTCCCACCGTAGCTGAAACTGCAGATGTAAGTTGTCCATATGACTGTATGCCTCATTCCATGTGCTCACATGTTTTTCTACCTCTTTGTGGTTAGTCGAAGGAGGTACTGAGTGCGTGTGCTTCAATAACTCATGCTAACCCTCTAATTCTCCTTGAAGATATTTTTCTTGAAAGGAGAGATGGCTATTGAGTTCTTGAAAAGAGTAAGGATTGTATTTGGTCCAAAGACCGACATGAGTGTAATGATCAAATTGTGTGCACTTGGGTGGCGGAGATGGAATGATAATGTGTTTTAGGGGTCAGGATTCTTTTACCTTAACTACTTCGACCACCACGCTACCAATATTCAATTTTCTGTTAACTGCCACACTAAATCGCTGTTTTATTTTATTTTCTGGTGAGTTGAGAACATTTAATTTTCCTAGCTATTGTTCATTCAGAGAAGAAAATTCAAGCTAGTGAGAGCTAGTACATAGTAATATACTCAATGACCCCACACTTGCATACTTCCTCAAAAACTGGTGTTAGTGCTGACACGCACCAAACTGGTTTGGTGCATGGAAGACTAATACTCCCATGAGTCTTATACCCCAGAAATACCACTATAAAACCCTTTTTCTTTTATCTGAAGTTGGACTGAGGCTAAGGAAATATTTTCGCCTTTTTTTTCACTTTTCAAGTTTGTATGTAAGCAGCCTGAATATTTTAGTACATTTAATTCTGTGATGAGTTTTGCTTAGTCAGCCATGATGATGACCCAGATAAAATCCCACACATGTCAGGTGACTCTTGAATATACTAGTAGCACAGCCATATTTATTGCGTATATAATACCCCAGTTTTGAAATAATAGGGTTTATAGACTAGAGGCTCCTGTTGTGCATGCCTGCACTTCAATGACACTCAACTTTAGCACATTTCCTGGGCTATGTAATGCCCTTTCTGGGGTCCAGACAACATTCAAGTAGGACAATATTGTAGATGATGTTTCTGCGGAGCAGGAGACACTTATACTCCTGTCATTCCTCAGGATAAAAGCCAAGGCAACACTGGTGTTGTGCATGAACTCACTCAGCTCCAAAATACATATCTCAAAGGGAATATCAGAGAGTACTGAAATTGAATACAACCGGTAAGTACACTGATTGACATCTGTTATTTTCTATGGTTCCTGATGCAAGATAATGGGCTACAGACTTATCACAAACTTTGAAAATTTCCTCAGGGATCACAAATTTATTCAAGACAGTGAATCCCTGCTCTGTTGCCGCCCCTGTCAAGATACACCTTGTCTGATTGTAGCATGGATCATGCATTTATAAGTGAATATAACTTTCTTATGGTGTCTCACAGCGATCCTGGGCCTCACCTCAGGTGCAACTCAATCAATATTGATGGGTCAGTGAAACCATCCACCAAAGAAAGGGGGCCATATGACCATGCCCAGAAAATGCAAGAAGCAGTTACATATGTGCTCAGCTGACTTCAAGGACTAGAAACTATGTTGTGGCATCAATCAGAGGTCATATGTTAGAAACCTTTTTATGTTGGTTGAAGTCTCAGGGTTCATGTGTGGTTTGAACGCCAAAGGTGCATTTTTTAATAATGATGCACACCTGATATGTAGTAACAACTTGTACCTGACAGGTTCAGGCCAGTGAAGTTGCTGTTAGTGCTAGAGCTATTAGTTCTGTAAGTCCATTTTGACATTTAAGAGATTTGTACCTATCAGCCTGGGGGACTTCAGCAACCTGATAGTACTAACTCAGCACAATGGACTAGAGGGCAGCTGTGACAACTGCTGCATGCTGTCTACACTGTTACCTTCTTGTGCATGTTGCAGTCTGATAAGGTATTAAAAATCTAGGCTCATGACTTACAGTTGTTTTCCAATGGTATGGTTCAAACTCTACCATTCAGAAAGACACCAGAATGGAGGTGAGTACTTTTGCATTGCTAAATGTGTATGAGAATTCATGTGTGTTGTACTACTAGATATAAAGCTGTTCTGGCTGTATATAATGCCTGCTTCAGAGGCCCATTTGTATCCTGTGAGAGTTGTTTTTGCAGATTAGATTGCTACATCAGAAATTATGACTGGTTACCTATTTCACCAAATTGCATCAGGTGATCAGGTGGCAGAAGCCAATCAACCAATGGTAACTATTTTCATCTACCTAACGAGGTTTGTATTGAAATTTATATCTTAGACATTAGAACACTTTTTGGAGCTATTTCACAACAACCTTCTTGACATAGGAGTTGATCCATCATCCTATGATACCCATTCATTCTGCCGTAGTATATATGGAGTATGAATTCTGCAGAAATTGTTTGTTGAGGTTGCTGCATGTAAGAGTTGCTGTTGCCCAAGCTGGTTGAATTCTTTGGTGTCTATGCAAACAAGAACTAGCTAGGGACATATCCAGTGGACCTTCACCAAATGTCCTCTATTTTGCAGATACATTACAACAAGCATCCCATGCTTATCTATTTGACACTCTTAGTGAGCATGAGATTGAGATATTTTGCAGGACACACTACATCAATACAGGTATACCCCACAAGTTGTCAGCTGAAAGTCCCAATAAAAGGTTTATGCTTTGGAAGCTATATCTATCTGCAATGTTGTGTCTTTGAAAAGGTATGTGACACAACGAGATTGATGCTGAATAGAGTTCTGAAAAGTGATAAGTGTACAAACAGGAGTGGAAATTACATCTCAGATATTGTGCTCATGGACGACCTTAAAGATACATATCAGAAGATTTAGGACTCATGGAATGTGTGTGAAGAGTTGCCGATTGGCGAAGTTAGCTTGGAGAATAGATTGCTGATGCTCAACAAATTACTCTTGATATGGGGGACTTTGTGGAAGTAGGTGTGGGAATAGACTTTGTGGTAGGAAGAGACAAAACTTTGTGGCCTATTCTGTGTGCTTACCTTTTGTGCACCCATGTTACTTGCCTGTTGCCTGCCAAGCAAGGTGAAAAGTTAACGAAGGTGAGAGTCAGATTGATATACAAACAACAGTGTGTTGAATTTTGCATCCTATAGTAAAACATTCACAAAGTGACATTGAAACAGACCAATGAGGAAGGGAGAGTATGATGTAAGAAAGGAAGGATCACTCAAGAATTATGGAGAGCAACCTATTTGGCAAGTAGGCAACTTGAAAAGATGTGACCTCATTTTGCTTGAGGCAAAGATCATGAGGTATTCTGTAAGGAGTGAGAAGGGAAGATGGATCTTGAGGGCACAATACAAGATGGTTGCCATTTCATTGCTGAATATGAGCAAGATCAACGAAGAAGAAGAAAACAAACAGAACATTGAAGGCCTAAGTATTTAGGATATGATGTATGCAAAAGTGTAACAAATTTGTGAAACAACAACATATTGCTTAGTCAGACATGTGTGAAACCACAGGTGTGACAATCAGTGGCTCTAACTATAACCGTGATGAATTACCCATGCTGGTCATGCACAAATGCAATGTACTATGGAGAAATGGAAGAAACAAACTTCATGGATGCATGGACAGTGCAAGAAAGCAAAGATGAAGCAACCAGAGCAATGGGGTTAGAAGTGTTTTTCCCTGACATATTGAAAATCACTGAGAAATGCATCAAAATGAAGGTGCCACACTATGGAACAAGTGATTTTACCATGCAATATGACTCAAGAGAAATATAGCCCTGCAGGAAATATATTGGTGTTGAAGAAAATAGAAAGGAAATACACACCCATTGGGAAAAATGATTTGGTCACAGCAGCATTGGCTTAACAAAGGTGAGGACATGACCAAGAGCAAGACAGGGTGCTAATGAAGGCACAAAGCTTGTTCAATGAGGGGCAGCTAGATATGCAACAGAAAAAACCTATTGAGAAAATATAGGGGTGCTCGAATACATTGACAGAGGGAGAATGCAATGATAGTGGGAGAGTTGGCAGGGGTCAGCATGGTTTAGATAGGAGTTATTGATGACTACTAGGGCACAAGTGACATAAGCTGAAAATGCAAGGAGTGATAAGTCAGGCAAAACAAAGGGGTGTGGTTGGCCATCATAGAATCATGCAATCATCTAACAAGTACGAAGGAGCCTCACTGGCAGATAATATATTGATACTTCTAATAAGAGAAACCTCAGAATCATTGAGCCATAAAGCAACAAAGGAAAAACTGTGGAGGTCATTCCCTCATTGGAGCATCAGTCTGAAGGTAAGTTTAAAAGCAGCGACAAGCAATGAATTGACACCTTTGGGCAGAGGATTCAGAGGGTGCAACAAATGATGGTAATGCCATGCACAATGTCCATATTGCAAAAGAGATTAGAAGAGAAGCTGAGTGAAGAAATAATGAGAAGCAAAGTGTTGCAAATGATGAGACCTATTCATGGTTGATGCACTCAAATGAACATGGAGGCACTGGAAGACATACAATGGGTGCTTCAAGACAGAGAGATTCAACAACTCTTGGTGCTTTATCTGCATGAATTAGATGTCACTGATTGGTACTATCAAATCTACTACTCAGCAAAGAAAGGCTACCAATGAGAATACAATGAAGTTCTCAATACTGTATTTCCAATCAATACAACAATCAGAGGGGATGCAGTCATTATGAGAAACGGCACACAATTCGATTCAAAGGACGAAAAGTGGCATGTAGACAATTAGGAACTAGGGAAGACACTATGGTGGTACCTGAAGGATGGGCAGGATGCAAGGAGAGTGGCAAATCAAAGGAGATTTATAAACTATTTAGAAAATATATGAGTATCTTTGGCTAGCCTATGATATCAGGAAAGATGAATGTTTCACCATCAAGGAGAGGAGGTACTTCACAAACGATGCTACAACAAAAATAAGCTGGTAGAAAACACGCATAGACAAATACACTGACCTTTGAAGAGCAGCACAAACAGCGACTACATCACCACAATCCATAAATAGCAGGGTACCATTTGTACTGAGTTTGATGACAAGATAAGGGCAACAATCAGACATCAGATGCATGTGACAATCAAAAAGAACCAAGAAATGGACTGGCTGATGCGCAGAATTTAAGGAGGTTGTGCAAACACCATCAATGTGGTACACATTGGTGAAGAATCACTTGAGAAACACAATATCCCATACGGATATAGCGGATAGGCACTGGACTGCCATAAACACGAGGCCATTGGGCCAATGAGGGCCAATGTAAAACACACATGTGCAATAATCTTAAGACACTAGAAAATGAATAATGGGTTGAGCAATCAAATAATATATGGAAAAAAAGACAAAAAAAGACAAATACCTCCTGTCTTCCAACTATATGAACCCCTATGACACCAGACAAAGCAGTGTTACACAGCAGTGTGTGGCAGTGGATGACTGTAAGGCTTGTGAGAATTAAAATTCAAACACTGATTAATTGACAGTATTGCGAGCACCGGAATTAGTTGGACTCATAATGAAACACCTGCAACTGCTGGACATACTAGAGTTCAGACAAACATGCAAGGTGGCAAGAGCAGTCACTTTGGTGGTGAAAAAGCACTATCAAAAGATGTTAACACCTTTCATTAAACGACACCTGGCAAAATTCAATGTACTGTTGATGTGAACAAACAGCATGATCACGGGATCTTGTGCATTGAACATGCTGTTAAACATGCCAAACCATCCTGTCAGTGACTTGAATATCATCATGAATGCAGATGGGTGGGAAAGGATAGATAACTTCTTCATAAAAACATTGGATTACATGCGGACAGCATAAATGGCACATCCTATGTTAGCGACATGGAATCAAAAATGGCAAACATACGCACTCAATGGATGAAATATGACTATGATGGGAACCAGGAACCTCTATGATGCATTGCAAGTGATCACAAAAGGGCCGACAACTATAGACATGACCATGATGATGGTGGGAGTTGAATAAGCCTCATTTATTCAAATAGTACCATATAACAGCATACCTCGGACATTATTACATGCATATCTGTGTAGTGGCTCACCTCGAGCCTTATTACATTTCAGATAGCTTATCTAACTAATAGTTTCCCCTATGCAGTTCTGGACTTTCATGCTGTAAAATATAATCTGGCTCACTAGCTACTCACACCCCACTTTACTTCCCTTGCTATGAGTCATAGTAGAGTCACTTTTGGATAGTCTTACTTCACACAATCAATCTTTGCACAATCTCGGACTTTTGTTTCTTGGCTTCAGACTACCTTCACTTGCATCGGACAAGTACTTTGGTACTTTGGACATATTATCAAAACTTCAAACACACCTTGGGTGACTTTTTCTTCTCTCATTATCGATCTTGACAGACCTCCCTTAGACTTATATTTTAAAAGGTAGTTCTACAGGTAGTCTCTTTGGGATGTTTTACACTCACACTCTGAGTTCTAAGGTGATCACTTTCTAAGTGCCCATACAGAATCTGCTCTTTACAACAGGTACAGGCATATGTACTTGTTGGCTTTCAAACTGAAAGAATGCCAGTTGGACTCAAAAACAGTTATATGGTGAGGAATGACGGGGTATACAACATCAAAAAGAGGTTTGAAGGGAAAAAATATAATTTATTATTAAATTTAAAAAGGTGGATTCCACACTCAAAAAGGCAGAGGATCACATCCTCCAAAGATAGCATCTATTGTTCTCTAATGTATTGGACAATGGGAGTGGCATTGTAGATGAACAAGTTCCACTTTTGGGCATATTTCAGGATGAAGGGGAGGAACAAGTAGCTAGGTAGAGTGGAGACTGGACTCTGGGATATGAGTGATGTGTGGTAAACAAATGAATGAAAGGTTGAGTGGAGAGATACACTGCTAGCAAAAAGTTATGGATAGCAAGAATATGAATGCCATCAGTTAGTGGTCCCGAGATCCATGTGTTGTGAGAGGGTAAGAGGCCATTTGTATCAGCAACACCCCATTTTTTCAATACTGCATGAGTTGATCCATGATGGAGTGGCAATTTTCTGGTGCATCTGTTTGCATTTCATGCAAGTTGTCTTCATCTTTGTTTGCATTCACTTGTTGCCATAATACTGCTTTTCATCAGTGTAAAAGATCATGTCATGAGCATAGGGCACCACATGTGGGATTAAAACACCAATAGATGTTGAAGCTCCATGGTCTAGCATCCTTGAAGTTAGAGTAAGCCAAGATGCAAGTATGGACAACATGATCTCTTGTATTGTTGAGGCACTTTCTATATTCTGTGAATGACAACAAGACAGGGATGGTGTTTAGGGCATGGTTGTCTTCACCGAACAGTCATTCTAGGGTGGCCCATAAACCCA